CGGGAACGTTTTCCTCTCCGTTGACTTCTTGAGCGGCTTTTTTACTAGAGATTCTTAGATAGTGCGAGAGGATGAGGTTAAATCTGGGAAAAAACGGTGACTTTATAAACAACGATTCGAGATTTGCTTAAGTCTAATGCTCGCATATCAAAGAATAGCGAAAGAAGTTTTTTCATCTTGTTAAGAACGTGGGAAAAGAAGAAATTCTGAGTCCTTGTGAGGAATTGAACCCTAGACTTACAGATTTCCGCGCTTCGATGCTCTACCATTGAGCCACGGATACTCTATAGAGATCAAGGCTGAGGTTCATATAATTGATAGAATAGTTAGAGATGATTATGAATGGCTCAAAGGTGACAAACTGCGAATTGCTTTAGGCTGTTAGGCAATTGTCTTTCATTTAGCAGTCTGCCCTGCAGTTCAGCCTTGGGGTTTCAGATTCACACCATGATTGTGTTGTGTCTATTCACGAGACGGGTTCAGTTCTATTTCAATAATGAAAAAGCCTCTCAAGGTTTCTTTGCCAGCGATTTCATGGGGACAAGTCTGACCTTTCCTCGACGTGTTCTCTTGTTTGCCTGGAGAAAATACCTAGACGAACATGGAAATAGTAAACTGTGCAGTTAGATTTATTGCGTTTGGATCGTGAGCAAAATACAATATACTACTGTAACGAAGAAAAAGCTAACAAATCCATCAAAATGAATAGATATCCTAAAACACAAATTTCAAAGGAGTAAGTCTGTCAGAACTTAACAATGTAAATCATGAAATTTGCTCCGTTTCCAGCTCTAACGTTTGTTTCCTAAGGAGCAACAGCGACGCTGTTGAGGGCTAAGGGAAAAAGACGACGCATTTTAGAAAAAGCTAATTTTAACAGCGCCACAGGATTCTAAGACAAGTTTGGTGCACCAACATGTCTAGTCTTTCTGAATTCAATCTGTTGTTATTTCTTCCTAAATTGCATAACACATGCTAACATTCTTAAGAAACGATTATGGATGCAAAAGTACGTGCCGCATTGAGATGTTGCAACCAACAGGTTCAAGGCTTTGGGAAGAGTAAGACCCGAACAGAGAAGCAAACTTTTTTATCAAATGCGATCCAGCTCATTACAAAAAAGTTTAAGTTCGAGTTTTCCTCGTTAAGTATTCGCTTAACTCTTTCATTAATGAGGAAGTGATCCATATGTAAGTTCTCTTTTCAATATCAATGTGATGATGAAACCTATACAGATGTAGAGAATCAGGAGGAGATATCACTATTCTTTTTTCATTTCGTGGTTTAACTTGCAAATAAATGACCACTGAAATTAAAATTTTTCCTTGTTGCTGGACACTCCCTTATATCATTTCTTCATCATATCTGTGGTTTTTATTATTTCGCTTGACGTGGTGTGATGGGGGCATCCAAGTATCTCTTTCAGTCGTCTAGAATAATTATTAAATAGATCTAGTACTCAAGAGAAATATTATGAATTGTTGTCTTCAAATCGCTCACCGGTTTAACCTACAACACAGACATAAATTTAAGTCTGTGAAAATGAGAAACAAAGACCTGGGTTCAGCGAATTTGATTCGACTGGTAGTTTTATAAGAATTTTCCGAAACATGCACTTCAGTTTTCATTAGTACCACATTCCACAGAAAGTTTCTTCCCTAGATTTTTTAACTACTAAAAAAATATTAAAAGTGAAAAAATATTACTGTCATAGTCTGCTGCCTCTCGCATTTAATTATCAAAGTCCTCTGTTGTATGCAGCACGGTTTGAAACCCAAGATATGTAAGCCGTAGCTAATGGACCGCCTGTTTGGTACCTGTCCGAGTGAAAAAGGAAACGCCCCCTTGAGGTTGTCAATCTTTAAACGAGGTCATGTTTCAAGTCACTTTAGACATTCGCTTTGTCAAGAAGATCTAACAGTATGTTTATTGGAAAAAATAAAATGTGGAACTTAAAAGCGTTGACTGATATTTCATGGTGCAAAGTTAAATATTTTCAAAATTATTTTCGTCAATTTTTCTTCCAGCGGTAATGAGTAATTGACATACCATTGCTACACAATAGAAGTTTATCGTGTTAAGGTAGAGATCGAGACGTGGTGGGTCCTTGAGGCTGAAAAACAGTCGCGAACTAAACAGAGCAAGAAAAAAGCTGGGAACTTATTACGAAGTTATCAAATGGTAATTTTATTGCTGATGATAATAAAAGAACGATGTAAACACACTTCAAAAACTTACTGGCAACTGTGATTTCACCTCGTTAGATCACAGGCCTTCTTAATTTTAACAGAAGAAATAATAAATGAAGAGAAAATTGAATGAGTGGGAGACTTTCGAATTGTTTCAAGAAACCGCTATTAAGAGTTTGTTTGTGTAGCTTCCTTTGTCTTCTACAATCGACTGTTGCAGTTAAAGATGAGGCTTACAAATTTCCCCTGACTCACCTGAATATAAACTATCAACGACATGTTTACTTACATGCAACCAAGCATATCTTATGAGCGCTCGCCGACATCGACAAAAAGACACCGCTTTCATTAAAATAGAAAATCTCGTTCCGTCTTTGTCTTGAAAGTCTGCAAGATTACCAGAAAATTGAAAGTTTAAAGAGGATCAGATTGCTGCATTCTCCATCAATTTGATGCCACCTTCACAAAAGTGTTATGTATTCAAATTCTTCAATTCCATTTCTTTTCTATACACCACCGGTTACCATTGTCGAACCAACCTGCAGTTATTGTCAAAGCCTTTTGTTCTTCACATTGTCCTTCAACAAATGCGTTTTTCGATTAGGTGAAAAGGCGAGCAGCTAACCCAAATACTAATGTGCCCTCATGATTAACATGGAAAAAAAAAACTAACCACCTCTTCCCTTTTCAAGTTAGGAGTGAGCTCCATTCCGGCCTCCCATAGTGAACGAATTACCATTGCAACTGTCTCTGATTGAAAATTCAGTTCCACGTGTTTTGCATCCGTAGTTTTTTTTACTGAAGACATATGTTTGTGGCTTGTCTAAGACTATTCAAAAAGGACTCTGAGAAGTATCGATAAAAATAAACTGTCGACTTTCGTTCATTTATGCGCTTTTTACAAAACAAACAAATCGCAACAACAGTTTGAATGGTAAGAGTTAGAATTGTAACTAAACAACGTGTTTAAAAGAAGTTACTGAGATTATGAACAATGGCGTGTTTATCTTCAATTCTCTTCGCTTCAAAGAGCAACTTTAGACTTTGTGAGCAAGGAAAGGCGGGTGATTTCCCCACTGAATGTAGGTTAGATGTAAATTTTGACGTTGTGAATTTAGAAATTAATTATCATTATGTCTTATTTACTAGAATTAGGTCCAAATGATTAAATCTTCATGTTCAAGTTAGAATCTATCACTGAAGGTGCTAAAGGTTTAAATAAAAGGTCGATTTATCCTAATTTAACATACGCTCCTGAAACGTAACAAAACACATCAGTAGAAATAAACAATTTTTAAGATTTATTCTTTTCATATGTTATCTAAAATTGACTATACTTCACAACTAAAATAAGGAGAACAACAGGAGGTATTTGTAGCATTTTGTTAGTTATATACCATTTGCGCCTCCTTTCATGTGTTGGAGGTTAGCGAATTGTTCCAATCTTAGCTTAACGTTGCGTGCATCGCGTGAAATACTATTTCAACAATAGGATTAGAGCGATTTCTTTCGAGCTCTTAATGTTTCATCCTCTCTATTCAAAGGAAATCATTTTACAAAAAGCTAGCATACAAAAGGGATTCAGTTCCCTGAGTGCACACTGCAAGACTTGAAGAGGAGGGCATATGCTGCGTTTCCGACTTCTTACTGTGATAATTTTGATTCAGAGAAAAGTAAAACAAAAAAATTGATAAAACAAGCAATCGAATAGACATTTTAAAGTCGTCAGAGAGGAAGTGAGAAAGATTCCCTCCTCGCTGATCTGCGACTGGTACTTTAGAGAAGACCGGCATAAAAGCCCCTGTGGTACCTAACTTGGAAAAGCTCATTTAATAAACTTTATTCAGCTGAACAAAGTTGAGTTCTGAACAGAAATAAAAACCGTAAACTAAGCGCGTATAACTCAATTAAGATATTTTTATAAAGAGGGCATAAAACAAATAAACCATGTTATGGTTTTAAGATGACTTCCATGCGATGCTTTATCCAATAAACATCCGAATTTTAAGGTTAACAATCTTTTCAAATCCGGGCTAGAAATTTTACTTTTGTCTGAGTTTTAAGAATAGGGACAAAGAAACAAACTGAAAACACTAGCCTTACTTGAGCCGAATTATCTTTGCGTGAAATTATCCCATTCATGGTAGGATCTAAGTCACAGATCATTTTGAATTCCTTTCTAAACATTCGTATTCAAGGATAAGAAACAAAATAGCGTATGGTGGCATGACTCGACAGGTTTCGTTTTGTGTTATCAACGGCCTTTTGTCTTTGGTTGCCATGTCGAATTGAACACGTTCTTTGAAATAACAAAGTGTGGCTGTTTGACAATGATAAAGTGAGTTTATGCTTCATTGTGAAATTATATAACTTTTAACGTCGGAGTTTACAAGCTAGAATTATTCTGTTTGATAAACGCCCTCTCGGTTTGTGGCAGATTGTGTCTAAATTGTTAGATCGATCCGCGAAACCAATCTACCTGTAATCCAAGAACGAAGAAGCCAGCGAATCGGCCACGCTGCCCGCTTGAACGAAGACTGCAAATTCAATTGGTATATTGTTTTTATTGTATGAATAAACACTTAAATAAGCTACTAAACTATACAACTTGGTTAATCCCTGTTAAATTCTTATTTCAATATGTCCATTAAAGCGATAATAATCCTTTAGTCCCGGTTCTTAGAAACGACTTACTACACAGACTCACCTCTGCTACACAAATTTAATTTGTCCCAATAAATGAAAAGTAAAAAAATGTTATAAAGGGTCGAGCCTCTTTTATGGCGAATAAGTGATTCGTGTTTTATCGACATTAGTGTATGGAAATGAACATCTCGGCTAGGTGAAATTTGATGTCTGCGTATCTTGGGAACAACAACAGAGCAATTCTCACTAATATCCAACATCAGGTCTCATCATAACAAAATCCATGGACGATCTTGGGATGCCCGTTCTGCTGTCAATGGCAGTTGGGGCGTGAACTAAGGATGAGGATTCTGGTAAAACGCTTCGATGATGAACCACATGTCCAACTTGCATAGAATGCGACATAGATGGATGATGGCTTGAGTAAGCTATGGGAGGTCCGCAAGATATTTCTCTGCCAACAAGCGGTAGATGGGTCGAACAAGGTCCTTTTATTTCTGTCATAGGCTGCACAACCGGGTAATGAGGAGCGAAATGGTAAGGCGGAGGAGGCTCCGCTAATGTACAGTTTCCTGAGCAATTGCTAAAAATAGGACCTGAAGGCACCAAATGGCCTGGCGGTAATGGGCTACAAAGCGACGAAGAGGGCGGATATCCCATCCCACTCATATCATGATAGCCATAAGGATTTAAACTTTGCGTTTTCAACTTGGGTGTAGCCTTAGGCTTCCTTTTAGGCTGATATTTATACTCTGGGTGATCCTTCTTATGTTGTTCCCTCAGTCGTTTCGCCTCTATTACGTACGGATCTTTCGCTTCAGGCGAGAGTGCGTTCCATTCAAGTCCAAGCCGCTTGCTTATTTCCGAATTCAACATTCGAGGGCATTCCTCTGCGATGCGCCGTCTCTCTTTACGCGACCAAACCATGTATGCATTCATGGGCCGTTTTATGTGCTCACTGGGTTTTGTCATTCTTGTTGATCTATTTTCAAGTGGTACAGTTTCCAAAATGTCGATGCGAATTCACCGCCAAGTGGTTGGTAATACAGTGAGTGCGGTCACCCTGAGAAGTTGGCTTTTATAGGTCGTCCAAGCCTCTCGTTTGTGGATAGGGCCACTTGGAATGAAAAGAAACCACGTTATGAACAATGGAGGGTCTCAATGAGCTCCCACAGAAGTGGTTTATTATAAGAATCTTGACGGGTATAAATTATTGATTTGGTAGAAGAATGGGTTACCCACATGAATTTAACGAGCAAGAGTTCGATAGAACAATAGAAACTAGAGAACGTTGATGAATAATTAACAGAGCACGATGTCTTGTAAGATGAGTAAATGGGGAAAGAGACTGGTGGCGGGAACTCCCATGGATTGAGTGAATTCATGGTTTAAAGAACTGTTAAAGACGAGTGTTTCCTTAGAACGTTTTATTTATTAATTCACAATGAACAAAAAAAGGAAGAAAAATATCTTGTCTGGTGTACTATCTGGTACTTAAGGGTTTCAAAACTAAGGTGACTCCAAATCGTTGCTCAAGAGACTGACTAAAATAGTTGGATGATTTTCGGCAAATACGCGCGGCGCCGAGGATATTTAAGCTAAGCCCTACAAACACGCTGTCTGCTGTGCTAATTAGCATTAAAGACGTCCTTGTTTTGACGTTGAATGAACAGATAACAAAAAAAGTTTTGCATAGGAAGGAGTTGTGTTTACAAATGACCCACTGTGACTTGAAAGGTTCAAAGCTAGTTTTTATTTAAAACACAATATTTAACATGAGGCCAATTTTCACTGTTCATTCAGTACGTGTGGCTTATCTCTACCGAATGAACTCGCCCACACACTAAACAATGTATCACGACTCTCATAATCTTTATTCAAAGTACAGAAGTTCGCTTTTTATTCACATGGACAAAACCAGTTTTATTATGGAATTGTTCAAGCCCTAAACGGTAATAAAATTTACGAGAGGGCCACAAAGACCTAGTTAAAATTGCACTCTTTGTTTCACTCAAGCATTAAATTTGTCTTACGAAAGGATATTAACATACACTTTTAAAACCCCTTCATTTTGACTTTAAAACGACGTCTGGCAGCGGGTGGTTTTTATTTCCTTTTAGGTGAGTGTGACAAGACCCATTTTAATGCAATTTTCTCGGCTTGTCAAAGGTTGAGTTTCTATTTTTTTTTTTTCACTAGCTATAATCTGGGCATTTCAATTACTGTGTACACAATACACAATACCTATACGAACCTAGATATCGCGTCAGACGGGCGTATTCAAGGCCGCGCCGACGTTTGAATTAAGAGCATTTACTTATCAGACGTTCAAACATTATTCATTGTGAATTACGAAAATGCGCGCATCCTGTACACAATTTGCGTTAAGTAGGTTAACACTTAGGTATATATCTCGCGCGTGAGGTGGAAATCTACATGCCTGCTGGGTACTTGAAAAAGTTAAAAGAATCAGCTAAGCGTGAACATGGCTCAACAAGTTAACAAAGCGATCTGGAATTACATCTTCATTGAAGGATCAGATATGGAAATAATAAAGGAAAACACGTGCCGGTTCTTCTTTTCAGCTGGCGGTTTCCCAAAATTTATCCACTTCCCAAAGGCAACGAATATGTCCCTTTGTTAAGACGTTTTAACCCGAGGAAAAAAAATGGGAAACAAATTGCATATTCTCTTTTTAGTAACTCGTTTTCGAAAAAATATAATAGTTGCCACTTTTTCAAGCAAATCGATTTCTGCAAGACAAAAGAGAGGATAATTTTCTGTGTCTACTCGGTACAACATAAACAAGACAATACTGGCTTTTGAACGAGCCATTAAAGGCCTCGGTGTATGGCAGGTGTTGAGATCGTGTTCCCATGGATCGAGTTATAGAAATGCCACAATAGCTTTTGTTTTAAGATTCGCTACGAAGTTTTGCCAAATTTACCACAACAACTAACGCTCTTTGAGCTGCAAATGGAACATGACTTTGGTCAGGATTAATGGGTGGAGCATAGTTTTTATTTTTAGTCACCATAATTATTAATATCTTAACACAATGTCAGCAGAACACATAAATATAGAGAGCTTTCCAACATGACACGCGGTATCCCGTCGAATTTCCTCATGAAATCCACGTTGCCAAGTCGTAGGACACAACCGAGACCTCTTTTGATTTTATTTTAGACCAACTGCTACGAGACTCCACCGGCAACTGCAGGAGGAAATTTGACAAATGAAAACATCGAATTAAATGGCGAAAATCTCTGGTGTCTCACAGCGGATCACATGTTTAACAGCGTGACTAGAATAACATTTTGCACACGGAAATTTTCGACTTGTGGCGTATTTAAATCATTCTAAACGTTTTACCAACTTCAAAGTTGGACAACAATTGTCTTGGAAAGAGATAGACCGTTTAAAATCGATCTGGCCATTTTGAGCGGTAAGAAATGACGTTGTCGCTCAGGATAGGAAGAACACAGACCGGTACGACGAAACAACACGCGGGAAAAATATTCAGGTATTGTCTTGACAAAACTAATTGTATAATTGGAATTTAATTTGAATCACGTTTTCTGCAATTATTAATCTGATATGTTGATTATTTTCCCTCGTTTTGTTACGACTAAGTTAAAGAACACAAAAATAACGCTACTTTTGAAAGCTGCTGAACAAAGGCCTAAACTTTTATTTTGAATGCTACAGTTTTAGATATGCGGTAATAGTATATAAAAATTGATTTCTTTTCTCATAGCCTCCGAGCACAACCAAATGTATCGGAAATAATATCAGCTTCTATTAAATTTTACTGATAAAAAAATGCAATGTTTTTGCCAGTCGTTCAACAAAGTGCTTAATTCTATTGATGTTTAGTGGACAGTATCATCAGTCAAAAGACAACTTTAACTTTGAAAATGTTTAATCAACATTTCACACCGTATTGTTTAAAGAGTGTTAACTTTAATGCACAGAGACATCTCAGTCCTTGTTTTCAAGTATGCTCCTCACTCCTAAATTAAATTTGTGTATCAAAACTCAAAAATCATCTCATAAACTTGTCACTGGGATTCAAAGGAATCTCAAAAGGGAAAAAGTCACCCGTGCGAATTTTCGAAAATAAACAAAAAACTAACTGCACCTACTTGAAAGAAGTTGACGTAAGGTTGACAGAAGAATATAGAAAGTCCAGTGACAAATGGAATGAGACAATGGTGGAAATGAAGGACCATTTGTTAGAAATTCATAAACGTAATCGCGGGATTGAATTAAATAGTAAATATAACGTCTGACTAACCAGACACTAGTCGTTGACTCGGTTAGAAAATACGGTAGTCGTTACAAATTTAACTATTTTTTTTTTCTTGTAATTGATATCGAGTTAAGAGATACTCCTTTACTGGAGGATAGTTTCGAGACAGAGAGCATGTTTGAGGATTAAGTTTTGTTCACTCCTACATTCTAAACGTCCTAACGGGACTTTGTTTCAGGGTGCCCTCACCGAATGGAAATTAAAACGTACCAGAACCTGTTGTCACTGCTTTCAACTTTTGGTGGCTACCCGTTTTTCGCATTTTCACCGACATAAATAAAAAAGAAAATGCATTTTCATCAACATGAATAAAAAAGAAAATGCATTTTCACCGACCTGAATAAAAAAGAAAATGCATTTTCATAAATTTTTTTCAAGAAAAGCTAGCCAACATTCGCTGTTGTGTCAAGAAGTTGATTGTATTTCTGGAAAGGGCTTCACCCGAGCCAACTGATGTAAATGACATCTACATCGAAATAATTGTTTCACTTACCTGGCCAAAAATTCAGGATTTAGAGTGATTGTAATTCATTTAAAAGTGCAAGGTACCGAGTCGGCTGTGTTGCTCAAGAAGACAAAAAAAAGCAAAGGAATAATGAGAGACAAGACGTCATCGTTTTCAAAAAAACAAAAAAAAAAAAACAAAAAAAAATCTCCACAGCGTCTGTCATGCTTGGGAATCAGTGCAAATTTGATGAAATTTTCCATCTTTTCTTTAGATAGAGAATGAAACTTTTAAAATATCATGATTGTCATATGTTGGGACTTATATGTGAGGGCGTACTGCGTTTTTCTTAAAACCTTCTTTGTATTGTAGATGAAAAATTCCTTGCTACATTGACCTTGGGTTTGAACGGATCATTGAGACAGGCTAGACATTTATATCCTTTATATTTTTGGCAGTTCTTAAAAGTATTTTCTATCGAATAAAGGCAAGGAGACAGAAAACTTCAGATGTCTTATAAAAATCACTTCGTTTTTTGCCTTCGTAAATAAATTGACGGAGAACAGTGCGACTCCGTAACAAACGGAATTTCTCCTCATCGTGTCGTTTTCAAGATATGAACTGATTGGAAAAATATTTCTAGTAAGTATGGTTACAAAGAATACATTGCGACTTGTTATGTATCAGTTTAATCCTTTCCACTTTCCATAGAATCGACTGAGAAAGAAAAACAGATACTGTTTAATAGAGTGACGCGCTAATGTTAGTTTACGTAAAACCCGTTCTGATCTTGGCCAGATTTCGCGATGTGCAATCACTTAGTAAGCGACCTTTTGCAGTTAAGGTTTTGTATCCAGCTTTAAAAATGAGACATTCAATTTACTTTCATAAGATTCAGTTACTATTTTCCATCAGTCAAAAGCGAAGAATACGTGATTTATGTTGCTAGAAAAGAACAGTACTCAATTGCCTTACAATATCTTTCTTTCCCTTTTTTAAATCAGGGTCACCACAATCTATGATTCAGTTTTTGACTCATCGTAAAAAAAGAGATATTTTTCAGAACGAATGATCCGTTTCTGTAGCAATATCTTCACCTTGGACAACCCGTAAAGTCACTTATTTCCCATTGTTTACGCTCATGCATCTCTTGAATAATCAAAGGCTTTCAATAAACCACTTCAAAATATGACAATGGAAAACTTCAAAACGTAACAAATACCCCTATTATGGTTTGCTTAAGTGTTTTAAAGAAAACTCTCTGTAAAGTTTTGCAACTAAATCATACGCAGGACTGATCCGGAAACAAAAAAAATTGAGCGAGCTACAAAATGAAGGAAAGTAAGGAAGATATAGTGCATATCGTAACAGCTAAATTAAGAATGAAGGCGGTACACAA